TTGTGCCAAATAAAATGTAAGAAAGATTTCTGAAGGGAGTGAAGCTTGGACATAGGAACGGGTACGGGGAGGGTTGCAAACAGATATAAAAGTTTGGGTAGTACGGTCATTTTTAAGACATTAATACGACCGAGGAAAGAGATAGGCAAGGCATCCCAGTGTTTCAGGGAGCGAGAAATTGCTATAAACAGTGGGGGAAAATTGGCCTCGTATATGGATTGGTAAGAGGAAGTAAGGTTGGTGCCTAAATATTTTAAAGAGTGGGTGCACCACCGGTAGGGAAAGGCTGCCTGAAGGGAGGAAAGAACAACAGGAGAAACATGTATTGGAAGTGCCTCAGTTTTGGACGTGTTGACCTTATAACCTGATAAAGCCCCAAATGTTTCAAAATTTTGTGCAAAATCGGTAAAGAGGTGTGGGGGACTCGTAAGTGTGAGGAGGATGTCATCTGCAAATAATGATAATTTGTACTCATGAGAATGGGATTGTATCCCCCGGATATCCGGATTCGACCTGATGGCAACAGCCAATGGCTCCAGACAGAGAATGAACAGCAGGGGAGAGAGTGGACATCCCTGACGAGTGCCATTTGACATCTGAAAGGGGGGTGAGAGAAAGGAAGCTAATCTGACCTGTGAGAAAGGGGATGAATAAAGGGCCTTCAAAGCTGCAACAAATGAACCCCTGAAACCAAATCGCTCCAAAACCATGAACATGTAAGGCCAGCTTAAACGGTCAAAGGCTTTTTGGGCATCCAAGCTCAATAACACAGTAGGGGTAGAGGAACGGTTGACCAGATCAACCAGATCAATAGATCTCCTGGTGTTATCCGCAGCCTGTCTGGCAGGTACAAAGCCCACCTGATCTCTGTGAATGAGCTTGGAAATAATACCGGATAGTCGATTGGCCAAGATTTTAGTAAAAATCTTATAATCGGAATTAAGTAGGGCAATAGGGCGATAGTTATCTACGATAGAGTGATCCTTATCAGGCTTAGGAATAACCGAGATATATGCACGGGAGAAGTCAGTCTGGGGTATGATTCCCTTAAATAGATCTCGGTAAAGGGATAGGAGATGAGGGGCCAGAGTACCAATAAAAGATTTATAGTAGGAGTAGGGCAGTCCGTCCGGTCCCGGGGCTTTACGAGAAGGGAGGTGTTTAATTGTATCCAATAATTCCTCTAGCGTAATATCCGCATTAAGAGCGTCAATGTCTGAGGGTGATACTCTCGGAAGTAGCAAGGGGTCAAAAAAATTATCAAACGATGGTTGTGTGAGAGAAGGGTGAAGGTCCGGGGTTAAACAGTTATACAATTTCCCATAGAATGAGCCAAAAAGGGTTGCCATGGCCCGAGGATCATAAGTAGGGCATCCATCAGGCTGTATTAGAAGGTCGGGCATCGTGGAGGGGGACTGGGCTTTGAGACGGTTGACTAACATACGGTGTGGCTTGTTAGAAAATTCATAAAATTTCTGTCTAACCCAAAGGAGAGATTGTGCAGTCTTACTGGAGTCAAGGGCTTTAATTCGGTCACGTAGAAATGTTACCCCCTGAAGCCCTGAAATAGATGGCTTATTCAGTAACTGACGTTCCGCCAACGAGAGCTGTTGTATGAGAGAGGCCCTAGCACTCGCCGAGGACTTTTTTAAACGGGAACCCATGGAGATACAGAGTCCACGGAAAACCGCCTTGTGGGCCTCCCACAGAGATGAGGAAGAAGTTACGGAACCGACATTAAAAGTAAAGTATGTATCGAGTCCCCGTGACAATTCATCCCTAAGATGGTCTGTGGAAAGAAATGTCTCATTAAGGCGCCAGTGACACGGTTTGGGCATAGCAGGGGGAAAAAAAAGATTTAAGGTCAAAGAGGCATGATCAGACCAAGTGATGGGATTGATTTCAGAGGAAACCAGAAGTGGGAGCAAAGAGGCAGAGATGAAAAAATGATCTAGGCGGGAATAACTACGGTGAGGGTTGGAGTAAAATGTAAATTGTTTATGAAGGGGGTGTTTAATCCGCCAAGCGTCAAAGAGACGATGCTCCCTAATCAATTTACGGAAAGATTTTGAAGAGGAGCATTGCCGCTTCGAGGGGGTGGACTCAAAAAGCACTTTCCTGTCTTTATGGGGGGAAAACAATCAGATTAAAATCTCCCCCTACAATCACCTGCGAGGTAGTAATAGAGTCTAGATTAGCGAGCGTTTGGGATAGGAATTGCAGTTGACCTGTATTGGGAGCATATAAATTCAACAGAACAAGGGGAGTCTCGCCATGCATACACTCTAAAATAATAAAACGACCCTGATGGTCAACCTTGGAGGAAACAACCCGAAGGGAGCAGTGTGACCCAATAAGGATTGCCACCCCGGCCTTCCCAGAAGGATTAAAGGCCGAGTAGGCTTGGGGAAAAATCTCGAGGCAAAACGAAAAGAGCCAGTTGATTTAAAATGGGTTTCTTGGACAAAAATAATGTCTGCTCCAGAGGATCGGAATTCCCTCAAAGCCATCCACCGTTTTTGAATGGAGTTGAGGCCCTTGACGTTATATGACAGAAACCTCAACGCCATTATGAAACAACGACAACTGACCTACATGTAATAGCATGAAAAATGAATGGAATACCATCGATGTAATATAGTGAAAAACAAAAAACATAAAACAGTTGAATAACACAGTACAGTGCAAAGTAATAGTATAAAAAAACAAAAAACAGAGAACTAACACTAATAAGTATCCGCAAGGATATAAAACTCGGGGGGATAACAATGGGACCCAAGTCGTCTAGGCCTATGGCTAGACAAAGTCGGGGGCAACACGACAACCAGGACATCGGAAAGATCGTCAAGCCCGGCCAGAAAAAAAAAAAAAAAAATCAACCATGAAAAAACCCGACAATTTGGCCGGACAGATAAGGTAAAACCTGTGGGAAAATTATGTAAAGACAAAAAGAACCAAAAACCCAGGAAGGAAGGTTCATCACCGGATTCAGAAGGGCGCCCCAGAGAATCGTCAAGCAGGTGGATCAGTTGACCGAGGAAGAAGCGGGACGTTGTGGGGTACGAGAAAGTCTCTTCTGACCTCTGCGAACTGGGGTCCAGATCTTGTTGGGGGTAGCGGATGGACGAGACGGAGTTGGTGGCAGTGGGGATACATCTTCAGACAGAGGTGGAAGTCCCAGGCGTTTTAAGAAGGAGTCCGCCTCATGAAGATCACGGAGCACAACTTGGGTATTGTCCCTAGTTACGATCAGCCGAAAGGGAAACCCCCAGCGGTAAGGGACACGGTGTTGTTGAAGATGTGTGGTGATCGGTTTCAGATCTCGTCGCTTAGCCAGTGTAATCGGGGACAGGTCGCAGAAGAGTTGGAGTCTGTCCCCCTGAAATTCCAGAGACGATTTATGGCGAACAGCAGAAAGTAGAGCTTCTTTGCTTTGAAAAAAATGAAAGCGAACAATAACGTCGCGAAGATCTGGTGCCTTCAGCAGGTTTTGGGCCCAAGGAGCGGTGAGCCCTATCCATACGCCAATCTGCTTCTGGAACCAAGGGGGCAGTCGCGGTAAAGAAGGACAGAAGATGACGGTGCAACTGTGCATCTGCAATAGACTCGGACATACCGCGGATACAGGATATTTTGGCGCCGTTCCCTGTTTTCCAGATCCTCTTGCTGGAGCTGCATTTGGGACATGGAGTGCTTCAGGTAAGCGTTATCTTCTTCCAGTACGTGGACGTATTGAACCAGATCATCAAACTCATTTTCCAGTCTGTCCGTGCGGTCTCCAATCTGGGCAATTTCCCCTCTAAGCTCCAAGGCCAGCTTTCCAATTTCAGCGGATATGGACGCGGTAATGTTGCGCAAAAAATTTTGTAGCTTGTCATCCAACGCTGACAATGTGAGGGAAGGTGACTGGGTGGCCTGTTGAGGTGCCAGGGTGGAAAGAGGATGCTTCTCTGAGGCAGAGTGCTCCGCAGCCCTTGCAGTAGCATGCTGGGGCTCATAGTCCTCCAGCAGGGAGTGTGTCAGGGCAGAGGCTGGAGTGTCTGTGGGTGCAGTACCGTCTGCGACCACCGGGGGGCCGCGATCTCTCCCTGGGCTCTCAGTCATACCTGAGGCTGGGGATTGTGGCCTGGAGAGGAACCTCCGGAGCGGCGAGGGCCGCGGGTCACGTGGTTGCGGGGAGGGGGGCCTCCAGCGCCCTATCTTCCCCATCAAGCCTTCGCTCAGGTGCCGGGCCGGGTGCAGAGTACGGGTGACTCACCCGCAGCGGAAGAGGAGCGGAGGCAAGTGTCGGGTGAGTCTTCACTGGCTGGGATGAGCGGAGCTCACTTAAAGTGCGGCCTCCATCTTCCCTGGCCGCGCATGCGCCTTACCTCTCTTGTTGTTTGCACTAACAAATTACTTTTTGTTCAAGAGAAATGTTCCTCTGATGTCTGCTGAGAAACTGACATTTTTTGGAATGTTGATCTTTTTTGTCCCTTGAAGTCCTCATTGGTTCCTCCTGCCAACCTCAGCATCATTACTGTGTCTAATGCCAGCCATAGACGGTTCGAAAATCACTTATTTTTGGCCGATTTTCGCACTGTTAGTGGGTTAATTGGTCTGCCGTTTTTCCACTTTGAGATTATCGGTCATGTTGGAAAATTTGCGACCGATTTGGACGATCGGCTGATTTTCCCAGCAATGATGGCCTAATCGGCCGATTGTTTGAATGATAAAAAATCGGCGCATGAGCAGTGACCTGCAAGGGACAGAAGTTATGGGGTGAACTTTATGATTTAGTCGGCCGATTTTTTTAAACCGTTGGTGGTAATGTCGAATGACCGATGTTTCGTTTATCGTTCAACGATGTCTATGGCCTGCATTATAGTGATGTGGAGGTTGTGTCAGTTTCTTAGCAGACTTCAATGGAAAATTTCTCTTAAAGTGTTACTAAACCCAGGACCCTGCATTCACTATATCTGGTCTCCCACAGTACACACAACATGGAAATAGAGTTATATTTAGTAAATATAAACTGCTAAATACCTTTTCTCATCAGCAGTTAAAGCAGTCTTGTGACTTCTATCTGTGTCCAGATAAGCACTGGTTAAAGCTTGTAGAAGGAGTTTTCTCTAGGAGAATGCAGAACCCCTGACCTTTGTCTGGACAGTGCTGATTGGCCCTGTGCTGATCGCATGCACTCTCCCAAGAAAAGTAAAAAACTCTCTACCAATACACACCAAATTGAGCATGTGCAGTGTTTCCATACGATATGTCTTATCAGGAGATAACAACTAGACACTGGAAGAAGAGGAGGATCAGAGAAGTCAGAATCAAACAGTATTTTTACACAATTATTATTATTATACAGTATTTATAAAGCGCCAATAGTTCGCTCAGCGCTGTACTTTAGAAAGGGGGACAGAACGTGTGACAGAACAATACCAATACAATGCAAAACATGAGGGGATTGAGGACCCTGCTCTTTCGAGCTTACAATGCAGAGTATTAACTCCTTAGGTTCCACAGTGAGTATAACAAGCATGCTTTACTGCATATACAGACCGATTTTACTGTTGTGGGTTTAGTAACACTTTAAATGAGGCGGCCAATGGAAGAGGTAAGTATTTGCTATCTTCTTGTTCAGGGAGTCATTCTTTGAGCATTTTTTTTTCATGCCAATTTTACTTAAATTTTGCATTATAGTTTTTTTTTTTACAATGCTTTTAAAAATCTTTATTTACAGATAAGCATGGATCACCCATGACACAGGAGCTTAGCACCTCCTTACTTAGAACCTCTTTACTTTCAGTCTCTCTCTTTCTGATTAGAAGGAGTATAAGTTACTGCTCTGATTTTTCCAGTTCTGTGTAGACATTTGAGCTAGAGATATTGAGCTCTTTAACGTGCCCATGTGGTCTTCTCTATGTGGGCTGTATCATTTGGACCCTTCGCTCCAGGCTTGGCGAACATCGTCGTTTTATTGAGGGCGGTAAGGACATAGCGGTCCCAGACATTTCTTAGAAGTACACAACAAACGTACCACAGGACTCCAAGTCTGGGTCATTGAATCCATATCCACTGATTTCCCAGAGGCGGAGCTCTTCTATAAGCTCTGCCACAGGGAAACATTTTGGATTCACACCCTCGATACACTGTCCCCTGCTGGCCTTATTGAGGAACTAGAGATACTGTAGCTACCATACTATAAAATATCATAACACAGCATACATTCTGTTTTTGTTTGTGAATATGATCATCTATCCATGCCACCTGGGTTTTTTTTTCCCGTTATATCATTATTTTCCCATAATAACATTGTGCTTTTGTATACCCCATGCCATCTGTTTGAACACCTTGGGATTTCCCGCAATAATATTAGGACTCATACACAATTATGTATCATTATTATTTATTATTATTTTGTATAATCCATGTATGACACGTAAGGTGGTCCATCCGCGTAGGTTACCCCTCCTTGTGTGCATTTCTCATGTCCTATTGCCTTATATTTATACATAGCCTGTATTCTCAGTGACTACCATCCATATTATGACATGCTATGTTTTCTTATATATATGTTTATTTACATATACATGTATATTTCCTTTCTCCTCCACCCCTCCTCTACGGTCATATACGCAGAGATATATAATGTGCTGTTAATAGTTCTCTACCATCTACAACCTACCCCACCTAGGTGGGTCGGTATTGATCAGAATTCCTCATTTTTTACATAATGTTACATGCATATTCATCATGTATGTATACAGTCATTTGCGTCTATTCATATATAATTTTTTTTATGTACAACCACACAATTCACATTGGTTGGATGAGTACCCATAGCTTAACATTATTGTAATATGGCTTTACCTTTATTTATTTTGTCCTGATATTGTGCTTTTTAGATTCCTTCCTTGTTGTGTACATCAGGTTCTATTTCCAGCCTGGTATTTAATTCCTCCCCATTCACTTTCTCCCCCCTCCGTTTTTTGTGCCCCCCCTTCTTTCTATTTATTTTTATTTCCCCTCTTCATTTCTTCCTTTTTTATTTTTTTATTTTTTATTTATTTTTAATTTTTTTATTTTTCATTTATTATTTATTTTTCATTTTTTTATTATTTATTTTTCATGTATCCTCCCTTTTTTCTATAATTATTATTTACATTCTTTTTTCCTTATTGCTTCTCTTACATTGTACAACACGTTTACTGCTTTGTTCCACATGTCCCCCTGCTCCATATAAGGCTCCCTCTATGTCAGTGTCCTTCCTATGCTTGAGAAAGGAGCGCGCCGGTCCTCAGAACCCGCGCATGCTCAGAAACGCGTTGCATGTCTATGACGTCATACACCACCGCCGCTGCTCTCGAGCACACAGGAATTTGCCAGGCTTTCATCTCTAGCGCTCCCTGCTGTCCAGCTGGCCATCCTGTTCAATGCTCCAGATATCAACAACTCCGGCATTGTGCCTCGGTTAACCCCTTATGAGCCTATTTATTACCTCTACATGTGAGTGGTTTTATTTGTGTTCACCATTAAATATCTTATAGTCTACACTCAGAGGCACTGTGTTTCTCTTCTTATCGGGGGAACCTGAGAATGTTTCTGCCAGCTGACCATAGAGTTGATTGGAGACCAGAATAGTGCCAATCATCTCTATAGTCTAAAAAATAGGAAGCTACGAGCATTTCATCACTTCAGTTTCGCAGGATATAAACAGCGCCGTTTGTAAACTGGGAAAGCATCTGATCACACCGATCTTGGTGAGATTAGATAATGTAAGGGCAGAGGAGACATCTAGGGGTTTATTTACTAAAGCTGGAGAGTGCAAAATCAGACTCACTTCTGCATAGAAACCAATCAGCTTCCAGGTTTCATTGCCAAAGCTTCATTGAACAAGCTGAGGTTAGAAGCTGATTGGTTTCTATGCAGAAGGGAGTCTGATTTTGGACTCTCCAGCTTTAGTAAATAAACCCCCTAGAGTCTGATCGATTTCTCAAAACGAATTTATGACAATGCCCATTGAAGTTATAGGGGATATTTGCATTCCCTGTGATAGCATTAAAAGTGATCAGAGAAAAAAAAAATGTAAAGGGACAGTGTAAAAATAATTAAAAAAATCAAATTAACTTTAAAAAAAAAAGCAACCCTCGTCCCCCCACGTGCGCACCTGCGTGCTCAAGCGTTGACCCTGTGCCAATATGTAAACCACGCATTTGAGGTATCGCTGTCAGATCAAGGGCAGTAATTCTAGTGCTAGACCTCCTCTGGAAATCTAAAATGGTAGCTTGCAAAGGCTTTTAAAGCGTTGCCTATGGATATTAAAAATGTATGCAGTTTGTCACCATTACACAGCACATGCACAGTTTTAAAGCACGTCATGTTTGATATCTATTTACTCAGCATACCATCATCTTTTATAGTTTACCAAATAATTGGCCAATATATTGTGTGTTTTTGTGCATCAAAAGTAAAAAAAAGTATATATTTTTAAAATTTAAATTTGCATTCGAAAAATCGCTGCGTGAGTACTATGTGACATAAAAAATTGCAGCACCCACCATTTTATTCACTAGGGTGTTTGCTTTAAAAAAATACATAGTTTTGGGGGGGTTCAAAGTAATTTCCTAGCAAAAAATACAGATTTTTTTTCATGTGAACAAAAAGTGTCAGAAAAGGCTTGGTCTGCAAGAAAGACACGGGAGATGTACTTAAAAAGATCTTAAATGTAAAAGTGCCAAAAGGTGCACTCCTGATCGGCATTGATGTGGAATCATTATACACCTCTATCCCACATACCTGGGGACAAAAAGCTGTGGCCCACTTTCTGGAGACACATTTTCCTGAAATGGAGGCTCAAAATGAATTCATACTGGACTTGTTGGATTTTATGCTGACCCATAACTGTTTTCAGTTTTTGGGTTCCTTTTACCAGCAAATATGTGGTACCTCCATGGGAGCACCTTGGGCCCCGGCATTTGCATGTCTGCATCTAGGTCTATGGGAAGAGGAGTTAGTATATCCCTCTACTCCCTATAACCAATACGCAATAACTTGGTTGCGATATATTGATGATGTCCTGATGGTCTGGGATGGTAGTATTGATGAGCTTAAAAGGTTTATGGAATTCTTGAACGAGAATGATAGAAACATCAAACTCACTTATACAGTAGATAGAGAGGTGATAACTTTTTTGGATTTGTCAATCTCTATCTACGGAAATAAATTGGTCACTAAAACATTTAGAAAGGAAACAGCGGCTAATACACTTCTCCATGCTAATAGCTATCATCCAAGGAGTTTAAAACAAGGAATCCCCATTGGTCAATTTCAGAGAATAAAAAGAAACTGTACAGAAGATCTGGAGTATAGATATGAATCTATTCAGCTATATAAGAGGTTCAGAGAGAGAGGCTATTCACATAGAACCTTAAGAAGAGCAAAAAGAAGAGCCCTCGGTAAAACAAGAGAGGAACTGATAAATAAACCAAAATTAAAGTTAGCTGAGAACCTTGAAAACCAACCGGTAAGATTTATAACTAAATTTGGACAACAATGGGGTGAGGTTAAGAAGGCCCTGGACTCCCATTGGTACTTATTAACTCAAAATCCGCAGATAGCCAAAGTAGTAGGAGAGAGCCCCCAAATGGTAGCAAAACGAACTCGGAATCTAAATGATATACTAGTACAATCAGAATTCCAGAGGGCACCACAAAGAAACTGGTTAACGAGGAGGACTGGGGTATATGGAATGTTCCCCTGTGGCCATTGTCAGATTTGTCTATTTGTGCATAAGTCTAATCAGTTCTTTAATAATGATAACTCTAAGATATTCCAAATACGAAGCTTCATCAATTGCTCAAGTAGCAAAATAGTGTACATGATAGAATGTCCTTGCAAGAAGATGTATATAGGTAAAACTAAAAGAAACCTTAGGACGAGGATTGGTGAACATCTGAGAGATATCAGAAATAAAAATAGAAATGTTAGAAAGGGAGAAAAAGAAAATCCATTGGCTCAACACTTCAAAGAAGTTCATGGGGGCAAAACAGATGGTCTAAAAGTAAAAGGGATCTTTCTGTTAAATATTTCAGCTCGTCGGGGTGACTTTGATAAAGTCCTCCGACAAAAGGAAAAATTTTGGATCTATACCCTGGGAGCACTTGCCCCATACGGACTCAATACAGAACTTAACTTTGGGTTTTTTTGTAAATGAGTCTTTTGGAACCCCCTATATACCCCAAGCTATAATCTATACTGTGGTATCTTTTATGTGAATTAAATATGGACATATTTGGACAAAATATGAACCTAACCCTGTACTTGATCCTATTTCC